TAAACGTAGAGATTTTAGTTTCACAAAAAAACCGATTCGAACCGGTTCAAAAACCGAACCGAACCTAAACCAAAAACTGGTTTTTTTTAAACCGCCCCATCCCTAGTCATATGCAAATAAATTAATCATATCAAATCATTTTTTATTAATATTAAAAGAAAAGTGATTGATCCAGTCATGCTTAAATTTAACCCCTGAAATTTCTTATAGATATATGCTAAATATTTAAGATCTCTTGTTAGATGTTTGTGTTTTAGTCCGTTTTCTTTTTGGCTGGGTTGGCTCAGATTGATCCACTACCATTCCTATTGCTGTTGCTGTTGGTATTACTGCATTAGTATTGGTATTTGTTTCAATTATGTTTGATGTTGATGGTGGTGGTGATGGTGGTGGTGGTGATGGTGATGACTTTTTGATTTCAGTGCCATCTGGATTTATACGAGTCAAAATCATATTACAAATCTTTAAAAAATACATATATTTTATATTAAAAGATATATAAAAAAAGTTATTTTTAAAAAAAAAACACTCCTCCCCCCTAATTAATTTACTTCATCATGTTTTTTAGATTTGGATTTAAAAGCTTCAGCAATTGATGTAATTTTTTTTAAAAATAGATTTGCTTCTCTTTGACTATTTGTAAGGATAATTTTAAAGAATAAATGCATAAATGTATGTATGTATGAATGCATATTTTTTCTTTCAAAGAAAATTAGTTTCCTTACTCTTTAAAAACCTTGCCAGTCCTTCCAATAATAAGTAAATCATCTAAAATCTATATATATAAAATAGCAATTAGCAATGATTCTTAATAAAGTTTCTTTTTAGAAGAAAAAAGTACATTACATCATTTATAATTTTTATAAAATCTTCTTTAAGGCTTTCTGCACATAACAAATTTTTCAATTTAACAATTATTTCAAAAACAGGACTCTAAATTCATGTATATTATTATTATTTTAATGGAGAGAGATAAAGAAATTAAATTAACATTCTATTTAAATTATTACTTACCCCTTGGGATAAATTAGTGAGTAATTTGAAATCAGTATCAGTATCATTATTAAAATTTATAAATGCTTTTATCCATCTAGATTCAATATCCAAATTCTTATTACTCTTTATCATTTGTTGATCTGATGATAACTTTGTTGGTAACTTAACAAGTCCTAAAAATTGGTTTATATCAGCAGATTCTTTACTAATAGTATTTGGTTTTATAATACTTTCCTCAAAAAACTATTGACATTATATTTATTATTAATCAATATATTAAAAAAAAAATCAAAAAAAATAACTTTGATCTTTTTTACCGAAATATAATTTGAATAATCAATTTTTTTAGGATAATTTATAAAATTTTTTGGAATTTCGATATTCATAACGTCAAGTGGATGTATATTTTGACCATGGTTTATATGTTGACAAAGAAGAAATAAAGATCCAATTTCTTTTTAAAATAATTTTTTTATATTAAAAAGATATTTATAAATATTCAACACATACACATAAATAAAAAGATGTAACTAATGAGAATTTACCTTTATGATAAACTAAAATATGTGAGAAAAGTATTGTTTTTCCTTGGTTGAGTGAATCTTCATTTCTGTTTGCAGGATCAATAGACAATGAAGGATCAATCATCGCATAAATTGCTCCTAAAATAAAAATAACATCAATTGATAGTTAATTCTCTCCTCATCTTTAAAAAATATTTATCTATAATAGAATATTCCAAAATAACAATACCCTTTGCTAAACTATTTATCATTACACGAGTTGGTTGTGAAATCTAAAAAATTGATTGTTGTTACTTTAACAAATAAAATATTACATATGTATTAAACATTGCTTACATCCATCGGCGTAACTATATGTGCACACCGAGTAACTGTAGTTTCTATATAATCAACAATAATGAAATAATAAATATATACAAATATTGTAAAATAGCAATAGTAATAATAGTTCTCTTAAAGATAATATATATAAACCTAATCCATGAACTTTTTGTTGCCATTTTACCACAGTTTCCCGATTATTCATACATTCGGGTTCGTATAATTTTGATTTGGGAAAACTTGTAGATGTTGAATTGGAATGCGGTAGATGATCGCCTGCTGGATAATATAATTTAATCTCATAGGATGTTTTTGTTTGGTTGGATTTCTGAGTAATTATTGTAATAAATATATGTTATAGGTGTAGGCATATATACAAACAAAATAGTTTTTTAAAAAAAAATTTTTAAAGTAAATAATACCTTCATTGGCACTCCAAGTACTCGTAATGTATTTAAATGACGGTGTAATTGTAATAAATGTAACATGGAATCTGTAATATGTTTTCTACCTGGTGGAATGTTATACACTGTGGCTGAAAGCTCCGTATTTTGTCTTGATATTGGAATCTAATAACAAATTATTATTCATTCAATATATTCATCCATTAAATATTCATAAAATCACCCACAAAAAAATAAGTAATCACACCTTAGTCCTAGAAACATCATCATTAAAATGATCAAAAGAAGGCACAACACGTAAAATATCAAAATGATATTGTATTGATCGACTTAAATTTTATTTTTTTAATAAAGAAAATAATTAAATGTCACTTTCTTCTTCATAAGAATAATAATGATTATAATTATTAAAGATAATAAATAACTTACTCAATATTCTTTTGTTTTTTACTGCTAGTAGAGTGATTATTTGATTTTCTCTTTTCTAAAAGTTCACATATTACATTACGAAGGTCTATTGTTTTTTGTTCTAAAGTTTCTTGATAACTTTTAAATAAATAAATAAATGTAAATTAGTTAATTAAAAAAGTCCTCCATCAATTAATCCATCCATTCGTCGGTATTTATTAAACATACTCAAAATTTTTTTCATTAGGTTTCCCCAATAAAATCAAAATAATCCTGGCCTTGATTCTGTCATTAAATCCACAAGATTCTAATGATTTGAGACCTTTTTTTAATGCATCAGGTATACGTGTAGATGATGGTGTAATAGAACTTGGTGAAATGAAGCTAAAACTATCAACAATCTTTAAATCAACAATAAAACAATTAATTATTATAAACAAAATTTAGATCTCATATATCCAAAATATATATATGAGTAAATATTTGCCTGGTTTAAATTTTGATCTTTCCAATTATTAAGTACACTATGTTCTGAAGGTGCGCCGGCAACATGAACAGATATCTATCTGGCCAAGATCAAATAATAATTAAAAAAGTATAAACTAACAATAACAATGAGGAAAAATTTCAAAAGAAAGTATTTATTATTTTACTAGTGATACATTATTGTTGGTGTTGTTTGGATCGAAAAGATCAAACGCTATGCGACAATATTCTAAGGTAGCTTCTACGAAGCAAGACCATAAGGGACATGGCGGAATGTCTAATTGCAACAGAGAAATTAACAGCAGCAATTAACAACAGCAGCAGCAGCATTAAAACAAGAGTTAATAATATATATATATATATTTAAAAGGAGCCCCATACCAGGAGGATCATTAGGATCTGCAATACAAGAAGCTTGAGAATCTGGATGACAATCAAGTAAAATCAATGTAGGTTGATTAGTTGTAATCATGATGATTTGAAGGTGTAAAAATGGGGCGTGCAACAGGAAATTACAGGGTCAAAAGCCAACAATATTACCCCAATAATGTAACCAAGCCCTTCAATTTATTTGCGCAGGTTTTTTTTTGATTTGCAGATTTGATAATTGATTTTGGAATCATAGATTTTAATGTAATAATTAATTTGCTCTGTGTTATGGTCAAGTGTTATGTGCGATGACTAAATCGATATGTTGGAATAACTCATTACTTCCTACTCCTCTTTTACTAATGGCTTGCATTATAACTCAGTAAACCGTTTCACTCCTTTTTTCGAATGACCAAGTTCAGGCTTTTTACAATGCATTTTTTATAGTAGAGGCTACGTTGTATTTCCCATATTAACCGGTCACCAGTTCAGCAATTACTGACTAATCCTCAATAACCTAGATGAATAAACTTCCTTGCCTTTCTTCTCTTCCTGCTTCTTTTCTTGGAACAAGAGTTTCCTTGCCCGTCATGAGTTCTTTTACTTTGGTAATCAATAGATCTTTAACAGTAGTGTCAGGATCTCTCTCGTGAATTTATTTTTTTTAATTCAAGAAAAGCCATCACTGGAATGAAAAAGAGTAGGGATGTTAAACAGCCCTAAAACTGATGGTTTGATGATCCGGACCAGTCGAACCATTTAACATCCCTACAGTTGAGAGGATAGCGCATCTCCCTTTTTCTGCCATATGTTTTTTGTAATTCATCTTTCCCACAGCAACTAGACCTCGGAATGAGAATAAGCGTTGAGTTTTTGTTTATCATTAATAACGATTTTATAATCCAATAAATCAACTTTTTTGAAAACGAATTAAAAAATTGTTCATTTATTAACCAAGCTTGAATTTTATTGTTTCATGTAATTTTTAATGAATACACAAAAGTTCTTATTTTAATGATTATTTTTTTAAAAATGGAAGCAGGCAATAGTAAAAGCAAAATCAGAGTATTCTTGGAATGCCCAAGACTACAATCCATGAACTATTTGTCCATTCTAGAACCACAAACACATCAATCGTACGCTTCAACAATTTTAATTAATAAAAATTATCCACACCACATAGTGCCTTAACTAACACCACCAAAGTTGGTCAGAATACAATTCGAAATATTAAACGATACACAAAAAGAAAGTCGGCGCAGTTTCAATAAATAATGATGATGAAAATTTTTGGTACGTTGTTCCTATTACTATAAAAAGCCTTTCTCGGAATCTTCCTGTAAAAGAGCGCCTTTCCGTACATTTTTATACAGAGAATGGAAATCACCCTGAAAACACGGAAAATATAAATTCCGTTGTTTCAATGTTAATATTACTAATATTAATATTAATATAGAATGCATATTAATATGGAATTTATATTTTCTCTGTTTTTCGTATAAAAATGTGCGGAAATGCGCTCTTTACAGGAAGATTCCGTACATTTTCTATTGATAAAACTGAAAACATTAACATATTAAGATGGAAAATGTACGTTTTCCGTAAAAATCTCTTATGGTAATAGGGTAATGGTGGTAGTATTATGGGTTTAGAGCTATTTTTTAAAAAAAGGTATAGGTTACTTGGTTTTAGTAAAAGGAACGATGAATAGATGGGATATATTGAATTCTCGGGGAAAATTTGCTGAAAAGGATTTAATGCCAATGATTATCTTTTCCAAGACGATAATGCCATTGTCCATATTGCAAGAGATGATGTGATAACTTGAATTCAAGATACAAATACCGAATGCTTATTTTTGGAATTACCCTATAAGCATGTAAATTATTTGCAAGCATCCTATGCTGATTTCGGGCAGGTGACATTTTTAAATTCATCTCTGACAAATGGGTAAATGTCATTATAAAGATATTCTTGACGTTTAAGATTCATAGGAGTGGGTATCAATGTTGGAATTTAATAATCTTTTATGATATTAGAAATTTCTGTTCTCTTGGTGGCTTAGAATTCTTAATTAACTTACCATCTCTTGCTCCTCCTGGAACTCCTTGTCTTCCTTCTCATCTTTCTTCGATCTTCATAATCATCGTCTTTTTTACAATCGTGTTTAAAGACGTTTTAGATTAGAATTCTGTCGAAGGAACATGAAAATCATATTATGTTATTTGTAACATTAAATATTGCAATGCAGGGTTGATCGAATGGAAGGAAAAGTATCAAAAGGATTTGCTGAAGGAACATTATCATTGGAATATATACCACTCAAACCAACCTCAAATTCAAATCCTGGCCAAATGATTGTTTGGCGTAATTGAATTGTTTATGCATTCATTTTCAGAATTATCAACAAAACCATATAATAAAAGATTAAAAATGGATAATGAAATTCAAAATGATGAGATGATGATGCAAATCAAGTTCCAGTACATGAAATATATATCTAGCCTTTAATGGAAAAAAACCTTAGAATCTCAAGTCCAACTAGCAAAATTGACTTTAATTCTGGGAATCACAATATTTTATTAACGTAACAAATCTGGTAAAACTTCTATATTTTACTTTGTAATACAACAATAGCCAATAGGGTTTTTATCTATAAAAAATCCAGATGAATTACTAATATGTAAAAATCCAGCCAAAAACAAGGAAACAAGGAATTCAAGTATTGTTTGATGACTTCAATAAGGGATGTACTATTAAATTCATGACCAATATTTAAAATATCCGTCAATACATATCCAAAATACTCCTGATATTATTGTAATTTTATGCTGCAGCATCTAATGAAAGAAGGCGGGCTACGCCGACACAATATTATCAATGCAACATTGCTAATATTGTAAATGACAACAAAATTCCCAAGAACGTTAAAAATTTCTAAAGAAAATTTCAATATACAATTATTACATTGATTATAGCCGTTATCATATTGGGTATTAGCAAAACTTACAAATGATCAATATTTTAAGAAAGAACTCTGGCATTGTTATATTGGAACATCTAAAGTTGATACCCATTGCAAGAGAACTCACTGAAATAAGCTACATCATGAAGGAAGAGTTTCATGATATGTCATAACATGGGTTTGATGAGAGAGATGCAGACTGCCAGACTTTGCAGTATCCATTATCATTTATCAAATCAAATGATCTCATACTTGTTGGTGAAGTCATTCTATTTCACAAAAAAAAAAGAAAATATATAAAAATTGTAATGATCTAATCCATGTTGGTATTCTCATGAAGAGTAGCCTGTCTTGAACAACTTTTTGCAAAGATCTGTATGGGATAAAAAGGGCACAATTGAAAATATTTACATGCTTGGGGATTTATCCTATCGGTTTGAAAGATCTCTCACAAGAAACCATTTTCAAAGCTAATATTTTTTTTGAAGTCAAAAAATATTAATACAGGCTAGATGCTAATTCCTGCTTCATTGAGAGAGACGTAATTAATTTGACGAGCCTGCGTAAAACTTGCACATTCGCCGTAGTTATAATGTACAATGAAAACAATATTTAAACGTGGTGCCCAAGTTTAGACAGTTTGTGAGTAGTAAGTCACGCAGCCGTTAAAATTTTGCTTTTAGAACATATTTGTTGAATAAAACAATCACAATCTTTTATTTATCACATGATTTCTTATGTTAACGAGTGTATTTATTATTTAGGGTAATTCTCAACTGGGCTTTGCGGAAAATGAACTACTTTCTCATTTATCATACAATAACAAGCTGTGGTATATACCAATTTTGGAAGCGGCTACGCCAATTTTCAATTATAATAATAAATGTAAAAATCTTCGAGAAGTTATATTATTATTATTATTATTATTGTCATATATGTCTAGAATAATCATAATAGAATCGTTCACGCCAACTATTCTGCGTTTTTAGGTTATTCCGCAAATTGAAATTTTTTGCCTGATTTAGTGATACTCGCAGTTTTTATTATTATACATACGAAATGCGTCAATAAACAAAACGATGTAATGTTTTATGGTTACAAACAATTTTTTTTTAAAACATCCAAGTTGTCAAAATAAAATAATAATAATAATAATAGTAATGTCCTTTCTCGATCGCTATTCCGTTATTAATTAATCCAAATTAATGTTTAAATGATGATTTTCTTTGATTTCAATAAAACATGAACAATAATAACAATAATAGTAGTGTAATGGCGATAATAGTTAACGGTAATAATAATAATAGTAATAACACTACTTGTAATAATATAAATTGATGCAGATGCATATAAAGATGTCAAAAAGATATTGATAAGAATATTTTGTAAAAACAAATAAACAACAAATAATGATCAAAATAATGATTATGATATGATAACCATATTTATTTAAGTCTGGTGATCTCTTGCATTCTTTGTCATTTCTCTTTCTGGATGCACGATTTAATTGGGGGTAAGGATGTTATTTAATGTTTACTATTTGTTGTTGATGTAACATGCCATTTAAATCTTACAAGAGCAAAAGATATTAAATGAAATAGTAAAAATTGTAGAATATATAATAAATAATAAATAAATAAAAAATTTTTTTGACAGATTCCTAACTCTTAAAACATCATTCAATCATTTGTTTATTTATTTCCCGTCTGCTTGTTCGCTCCCACCACGCCCATTCACTCGCCCATTCTTTTAATAACCTAGTTTTGTTACTAATTCATTTCCATCCATGGTGAATAAAAAACAAGTAAGTAAATAAAAAAAAATGTAAATTCTACTATTCAGATTTGTTTATTTGCGCGCAACGTATTTTCGGAAAACCGGAAAAGAATAAGACAATAATAATAATAATAATAATAATAATAATATTATTATTATTATTATTATTATTATTAAGAATTGAAGAATAAAATAATGGGCAATAATTTGGCGAGCGAGTGAATTAATTAACTAATCAATCATCGTCATCATCGCCATCATCATCATCATCATCATCATCATCATCATCATCATTACTATTACTATTACTTATTATTACTACTTTTAATTATTATTATAATTGGGGAAGAAAGGCTTTTTTTAAAGGAATAAAAAAATAAAAGGCGTAAATAAATAATTTGAATTTAGGAAAATAATTTGTATTTTTTTGACATATAATTTTTTTATTTAAACAATTTATCAACAAATCTGCAGCAGCAGTTCTAATAACATTCATTACTGCAATTAATACACACATATTTATTTTTTCCAGTTGTTAATGCAATAATAGTATTCGATATTCGATATTTGTTATTTTGATAGGTGTCATAAGGTGTCAAAACTTGAATTTGAAATAAAGAAATAAGCTTTCTTCATAACCTGTTGTTCAACTTGGTTTTCTTTTTTTATTAATCTCTTTCGTCAAAATTTTAAATAAAAGAGGCGCCGCTTTTTTAAATAAATATAAAGTTGCAAAAACGTGCGTAAAACAAATGTAAATCATTTCTAAGTTACAAAAACATGGGTTAAAAATAGTAATTGTTTATCTATTATTTTATTTGTATGTATAAATAAATGCTAGTGATTTATAGGAAATCTACCCCAACAGAATAAAAATAATTCCCACCCCACTTTAAAATTTATATGCAGGATAGCTTAGATAACGATATGAGGCTTTGTTAGGCCTGATTGAAGCTAACTAAGCCTAATTGGATTTAAATCGAATGTATTTAGGCCTATTCAGACAGATTTTTGGTAAGAACATTTAATATGATGATGATGAAAATGAATGGGTAATGAATTAAATGATGATAATGATAATTGTGACGATGTGTAGTGATAATGAATGCTATAAAATTTACAAATTCATAAGTTAGTTACTAATAAACACGAAAATACAAATGACACGTAAACGAAAATAAATTATAAACAACCCCAGCAAAAAAAATTCACAATAGTAAACAGACTTGTCACAATATGTTCATAATACAATCATTCAACTTTACTGACAATGTCACAGGACAAACAACCACTACCATTACGGCTACCAATATTATTATTTATTTTATTGCACGAAACTAAAAATCAAAGAACCAATCAAAGAACAAAATCTATTATCGACTAAATTAATATATTACTATGACCACAGGGTACCAGGATTAAGTAATCTATATCTGGGGTGTTATTTGAGTTTAGATGGGGGTTTTTGGCGTAGACTTTTTTTTAAAAGAAGTATTAATGCTCATGTTAAATTCTAATTTAAAGTTGGCATTTTAAATTGAAGTAAATTTTTAGGAAATGATATTTAAGGAATTTAACTATGTGTATTTAAAAATATGGAAGATAATTTGGATTTGTAATGTTTTGTAATGTTTTTGTTTATATGTTTATAAGTGTTGTGTATGTGTTTTATAATAATATTATTATATTAATTAAATCGTCGTGCTCACATTGAAAATTATTTATTAATAGCAACAGCAACAGCAATAATAATGGTTAGTTGGCTGTGGATAATTTTAAAAATTCGGATTTTGCCGTCTCAATCAAAAATATAGAGAGCAAGACATGACCACGGTTAATGATTAAGATTACGATTTATGAGATGATTATGATAACAAGTATGAATTGATCCTAAATTTGTGTGTTACATTTAATTTTATTCGTATCATGAATTAACAAATCAAAACGAATTAGGGAGGAAGGGAGAATAATGATGTTGAAACGTTCTATTGTTCAAAACGGAAACAGTTTCAAACCATTCAAACTATATAATATCCATTATCTATCAAATTAGATACTTTTATAAATAATTTCCTTTAAAGAAAAATTATTGACAGCTTCGTGTCAAGTTCATCCTCATCTTCATAAATATTATTTGTTCTTTTCACACACAATTTAATTAAATGGTGTTTCAATTATTTTAATATTTTTCACAATATCCATCTCTTCAATAGTATTAATTAAGGTAATATTGACAATTAATTACTACCATTGCTATAAATCTTAATTGTAATGTCATTCATGATTATTGTATCACAAATCTCTTGATGACGAATTATTTAACTATATTAATATTACTATTAATATTACTATTGACTATTGATCAAAGTTACATGCATCAAAATTTTTCTCACTTATTTTAATTTATTATTCATTTACAGGCTTTTAGTATCAATATAATTTCTTTTTTCCGTAATAATATAAAAACTTGCCGTATGTTACATTGTAATTTTCATCTGTTATTATTGGCAAACTTTGGGCGAAAGAACATTTTGATCTTCAATTTTTTAAATATAAATAACATCTTTGTTTACCATATTTACCATATTTATATTTATAAATATTTCTTTATTTCAGCCGGATTTTAAAATTTGTTACTGCATAATAATAAAAGGCGCAATCTTCATTATATTATATATATATATACATATATATATACACACATACACACAAATGTTTTTGCCCAATTTGTGTGTGTCATGTAAATGTCAAATTTTATAATTTTATCGCGTGGCGATAAATGCATCATCATACATACGCAATAAAGTGTATAGAGAGACGAACTATCAATAAAATGACTAGTAACATGAAAGAACAACACTCATATATGAGTTATAACCAATCCCAATTAATCAATCGCTAATGCCCATGATATTATATATATATGTATGTATGTATACGTGTAAATGGGAAATGGCTAAATTTAAAATTTCATATGATGATAATATGAATTTCTAATTTTTTTTTTTACTAATGTGTTTTTTATACGCGTAACTTTAGAATTGCCAATAAAATAACTTACGCGTGCGCCTGTCTTCTACGCTAAAAAAGCTATAATCCTAATATTTACATTACCAAATGGAAATTCACTGATTATAATGTATAATATGTATAATTATTTCATTTTTAATTGAGCTCTTGTTCCGTTCATATTTCGAACAACTGTGAATCAAGTTACCCAGAAATTATTTTTCCAATATTTATGATAACCAATCGATTATTGATTATTATTACTTCGCAACTCGTACAAATGATTCACCTAATTCGCGATCGACCTCGGCAAATACTCGTTTGTATATAGTTTATTGATTTGTATCTACACTATAACTATCAATAACAATCGCCCAACATTAAAAAGATTAAATCCTCAATTCCAAAAAAAAAAAGCGTAAATTTTTTCGGAGAGTGTCGAGTATCCGTTCCTTGCAACCTCCAACCCGCTCGATCAAAATCAATAGTAATTTCTATTGGTTTACTATTTATAATATCTGATATCATACAAAGTTTTTGATCGTAATGTTTCCCAATATAAATATCATTTTATAAATAGGCTGTGTATTATTATCATCATCATTATGAAAACAAAGGAAACTGATTGTCGTATTATTCGTTATTTTATTTGTAATAAAAATAAAAATAGTGTATTCCCAAAAAATACAATAAATCAAGTGTAATTGAATGCTATATTAATATAAGAAGTGATGTATGCAATGTATGTATGCATATGTTTGACTTTATATTAGCTAAGAGTATTCATCTATCTTTTTTTGGTCAAATAATTAAAAAATGACGCGTGAATGATTTTAAATGATAATAACAATTGTACCTATTGTAAATAATAATTATATATGCGCGCGTATTTATTCCTCTTTTTATTTCTTCTTCTCTTTCTCCCTCTCCCCTTTCCCCCTTCTCTCCCGCTATTCATCCAGTTTTAGTAATTATAAATTATTAATTGAATTTCATTGCTTATCATATTTTATTTATATAAACATATATACAGTATTTGTTGCATACGTATACATATGTTTATTTATTTATGTTTTTATTTACACTATAGTATATAATGTAGGAACGAGGCGGTGACTACAATAATGATGACGATGACAGATTTGGCACTTATCAATCATAATAAAAATGACAAACAACAAATAACATATATAAAAAAATTGTAAATGAAAAAATTACGTGAATGTTGAACAAAATCATTAGATGTCGTTATCTAACATTTTCGCCTACTTCCTGTTTATATGCTTGCTTAATAACTCGTTTTTTTTTAAAAAAAAAAAAATCGATTGTCAAGATCGCCTGAAGGTATTTTATTTTAATTACTTTTTTATTATTATTCGATGACAATAGTAAAAAATGAAATAATGTAGCATGCGTGCATGATATCGAATATTAAAATTTTAAAACAAAGAAATGTCAAAAAAAAAATACATTAATTTCGTCTTTTTTTAAGTTTTAGATACATACATACATTCATAGATAATACGAATTTTATTTTTTAAATTTTAAATTATTTTTAGAAAAAGTAATTCCGTACTTATTTTGATTTGAATAAATAAATGTAATTTGTTTCATATACATACATACATACACATATATATATATATATCAGTAAAGAAAGCATAAATCTTTTACCCGTCAAACCGCCAAATTTATTGTAATCAAAAAAAGAGAAAAAATAAGAACACGATTGGTACCAAATCCTATCTAATAAAATAATTGTAGTGGTGAATGGCTCATCGATCATATTTACGTACGTAATTGATTATTAGAGGAGAAAAAAATGAATGTTTTTTTTAATGATATAAAAATAGCAAATAATGCAATCTTATATATTACACACACACACATATACAAACGCATAAATGATTTTTTTTTTTTTTAATAGATCGCAGCAGCACTTTGTGATTCAAAGTAAAAGACCGAAGACCGAGAAAATGAAATAAAGGAAGGAACCACCTTTGATTGCCTGATTGATTGATTGATTGACCAAAATTAGTTAATTGATTGAACATTGCCGATTGATTTATTAATTTTGACCAAAATTAAGAAAATTTATTAGAATTGGACTGTAAAAAGTTTACTTTTTTATTTTTTTTATAAAATTTTTTTATTTAAAAAAATAAAAAAAATAATTTAATTAGTTAATATAAATTCCTTTATGATTTTTCAATTCGCACATGTGTTTGTGTGTAATCATCGAAGAACAATAGGATGTGCATTTTCCTTTGTTATAAATGATTTTTATTGATTTTATTGAATTAAACTTTTACTACTACTGATTACTCACTCACTGCCTGATAAATATTATCAATATATGGCTTAAAATAAAAATAATACTATAAAAAATAAATTATATATAATAATATAATTTACCATATACTCACATGCAAATTAGCACATTTTAATTATTTACTTGGAAAAAATCATCATCAGTATTCACCAGCATTCATCATCAAATCATAATAGCAATTCCTAGTTATTGTAGAGAAGAAGAGAGAGGGGTGAGAGAGAGAAAATTTTTTAAAAAAACAGCTTTTAATAATATTAATAATAAATTTATTACTATTTATATTATTATTATTATTATTTTATTATTATTATTATTATTATTATTATTATTATTATTATTATTATTATATTATAATAAATAAATATACCCAATTAATATTTTGTGAATGATTGTCAATCGGTTAAGATACGTTTTTTCTTCTTTTCTAATAATCGAAAGATTGGAAAGAGAAAATAAATAAAGAAAAAGAAAAAAAGAAAAAGAAAAAAAGAAAAAGAAAAAAAAAATGTAACAGATTAATTAATTATAGGGATGGCCATAGATGAAGTAAAAAGAATCCAAAAGTGTAAAGAAACACAAAAACGCGGGGGATCAGCCCTATAATTACCAAAAGGTGTATTGAAGATTACATCATATCACTACTATTTTCTTGTGAAATATCTTCTTTTTCTCTCTCTCTATACTTTTACAATTTTCACACACGCACACACACGCATACATATTTCTTCATAATAAAAACACATGTGCTTAGCATTCATTCATTCATCTATTATTCAACCTACCCGGTTTTCCCTATCTAATCAATCAATTGGTAGTCTTTCTTCTCCTATTTACACACTCACAAACACAATTCTCATTCATTCAAGAGAAAGAGAAAGAAGATCGTCACCAAACATACATATATTATAAATAAAATTTTGATGCAGGGATTTTGAATAGGGTGATAAAATGATTATGATGATCATAAAAAACGTGGTTTTATCGTCTATATTAGGTTAGATATTGTTCGTGTAACTACTTACTGTCAAAAAAAAAATCAATTTTATTTTTTGTACTCGAGTGACTTGATGATATATTACAAGTTATAAATATATGCAGTAAATCTTAATAGTGAATATATACATATATATAATAACTATACTCATATTTAGTTTTATTTAATTTAGATATTTTTAATGAATCAAAAACAAAGAATTGTCATTTAATTATTTTTTAATTTAATTCATTTTTGCGTTCATTATTAATGTATCAATGTGAGAAAGAGCAGCAGATTGAGAGAGAATGTGTGAGTGAGTGCATATATATTTATACATGTGTTCTGTGTTATTATGTGCTATTATGTGTGTTGTATTAAAAATAAAAATAACACAGTTACACAATTAAATAAAAAAAAAATTTTTTTTTTCTGTTTTTCAAAGTTTAAAATGGATAAAGCAACGAACGACATGCAAGATTATTACAAAAAAAAATAACAAATAAAAAAAAGATAATGACTGAAGATGGATGACAGATGATGATGGGTGGGATATGGTGGCTATGAAATTTAGTGAAATTTAGCCAATTTAGGAATCGCAATTAGTTGAAATTGGGTTAGATTGATGGAATGAGAGTGAGAGAAAAAGAAAGGTTGGATTAATTTTGGTTATGACATATGGTCTACTAGGATTGCTATTTATATAAATAGTAACAAACAATATTCCTATAAATACTTGATGCTTATACTAACTATTGCTGGTAATACTGGTAATATTAAATACGAGAGATTAGCTAACCTACCAAAACAATGTGAATTGTCAACAAAACTTTGAATTTTTTTATTTTTATTTTTTCCAAAATATCTTTAAAACAGGTATAAAACCAGCAAGTCATTATGAAATCATAAAACATATAAGCATATAAGTAATCTTTTCTAACTTTAGACCTATAGAATATTCTACTTGTCTTGGCTTATACATTTTTATATATAAAAAAGGGTTTTATTCTTAAAATGATGTGTCGAATTAGGGGGGACAAAATTTTGTATCGTCGATGAGGATTTTACGTTAATATTTATAATTACACGAATATGATTGGATGTAAAATAATGACGACGACGATACAGAGAATTGGATATGTAATGGTAAGTTTTTTGATGGTTGGTTATTTATTTATGTAAAAAGAATGTTTGTAAATATTTACATTGTGTTTATTCTCATGGCTATTTATTTATGAAAAAATTTTCCAAATTTGATTTTAAATTATAAACTTTAATGCCACATTTTTTTGCCCATTCATTTCATTCATTCATCAAATTCACCAAATCATTCATTCATCAATCAATTTGCCCATTAATTAATTTCCTAATATGGAAAGAAAATATATAAATTAGTCAATTTTATTGGTGGACATTTTTTAATGTTTTTATTGGTCGATGATATAATATAACATGATGGGGGGAGAATTTAATCTCCTTAAAATTTTTTTCTTTTGACAACAAATTTATTAATAAATGATTATCTTGCTGCGTTTATTAATAATTTAATTAATCAATCAAAATAAATTTTGACAGTTTTTGGATTTCAGTTTTCCCTCCTTTTTTAAACATTATAATAAGTTAATTTAATTAATATTAATTAATATTTTAAAATAAATTTGTTTGTTTGTTATTATTTATTATTATATAATAAATACATGGTCACATACAATTATTACATATGATATAATTTAACATGTATGTGTAACTTACACAACATTATAGTAATATACTGCTATAATAAAAAAAGAAAAAGATTTACAGAAAAAAATAATTCATTAAAATTTAAAATTTAAAAAAATTGAAAATTTTAATTTTTGACATTTTAATTAAACAATTATTGTTGTTTACAAAATTATTGTTTCATTCATTAGCTTTTTTATTATTTTTTTTTGACAGTTTATTTATTTATCAAAAAATCATTATTTTATTTATTTTTTTTTATTTATTAATTTTTACGACACGGAAGAGATATGGCGTTTTAAATAAATATTAATATATTTTATTATAACAAATCGTCAATCTCCGAGTTGTCAAAAAATTTTACCGAAATTCTTCCATTTGTTTACCCATATTGTCAATGATAATGGAAACGTTGACAGAAGCTTAATAATTGACATGGAAAATAAAGAAACACGTAATTTGGAAAAATGAATTTATTAAATTTAGAAAAGAAATCGTTTAATTTAATATAAATGTGGTGTGGCATGTATGGGTATATATAAATTACAAATATATCCATAAAAGGTTTTTAATTTTAGAAGTAATTATGCATGTAAATTTATTATTAGTATCTATGAGCATACAATAAACCACCTTTGTTTCGCTGCAATGCTCTATAACCCAGGTAAAGAATTTCACATCAAAATGTAGATTGTGATGGTGTATGTGCGCATCATCATATACAGCATTTTTTTTTTATACAATATTTCTATATGCAAATATTAAAAAAAAAAAACCTGTGCATCATTAATTATGTTTCAAAAAAATTTTTAAAATTAAATTTCCAATTCGATAAATAATCATTTTCTCCTTCTTGTTCTTTTCTTTTTTCTAGCAAGAAAAAAAATTTATCAAAGAAAAAATTTTTTTTAATTTAACTTCATTGTTTATAAAACCTCTTTATGTATATATTTATTATGTTTGAATTTTTAATTAATAATCTAATAATTTTAATAAATCTAATAATGCAATAAATAATAAAGTAATTTAATAATGGTAGTAATAATAATGGCAGCAGTAATGTAATAATGGTAATGCATTTCGCAGTAATATTTTCTTCACATATATATATATATATAATTGTATATGTAGAAATTAGGCACAGCAACCACGCAGACAATGCCATAGCACTAGATGCCAATAATTAATCAATTAATTACCTTTTTTTTTTTCTGCTTTCTTACCTTGCACTTTCTTCGTATTCTTCTATTCTCCTATAACTGTTATCTACCCCTGTATAAATAAAATAAACGCTTGGTTCTCGTGATGACTCAAACCACAATCATCATCATATTATCATAATCATCATCTCTTTTTTTTTATCCCGCAATCCTTTATACTAATTAAATCATAATCATGGTTTTTCTTTAATTTTCATATGATTTTATCATAAGATTCCTAAATAAGTTATGATTATGCATTTTTATAAGTTAGATAGATGGTTACACGCCAACACATTTATTAAATGTCAAATAAAGCTGATAGGATACATAACATACTTGTACCTAAAGGGAATTAGCTTTTATATTTTTTTGGTGTAAGCGTGAAAAATTAAGCAGTATATCTTTATTAATAAATATTACATCATCATAAAATAAAATTTAGTAGATAATCTACAGGTTATGTAAATATTGTTTTTTTCCGTTAAATTGATTAATTGATTGATTGAGAATAGGAAGGTTACTTACACATATGTACATAATATATCTACATTAAGCTTGATTATACAAGCGAGCGAGTAAAGTAGATGTGCACACGAGAGATGTTTATCCATGAATTAAGTGAAAGATCAAATGTGGCATAGGTAACATAGGTAACACGAAAATGTAAAGGAAAAATATTATTTATACAATTTAATATAAATGACAAATAAGTATAAATAATAAATCATACAAAAAATATACCTTATATATAGAAAAACCATGACTAAATTCCATTAATACGCTAAATCATAAACAAGTTGGATTGAAGTATTTTTGCGATATCTTGCATTGCCACGTTTTGTTTATTCCTTTTCATTTTAATTTTAAATTCTGACCCGACCCTAGTCTAATCTTAATCTCCTTGTTAAAAGTTAAAAGCGAATTTGAATTTATCATTCATCATTAATTAAAACTAATCAGATTAAAGTTATATGTATATATTATTACATAATAACTTATCTTATTTTGTAATCTGAAAAAAAAGTCATATTATATATAATGTATATTATTATATATATATATTATAAGCAATTTATGATTGTACAGGTTCAATATTTATTTATTTATATTTATTATATTATATTTATTTTATTTATATTGGATCCATTTTAAAATTTTAAAATAGTTTTTTTGATGTTATTATTTTAAATTTGACATTTCCCATTTTTCCTATATATAAGCTTTCAAAATTTAAAAATTTTTATAAAAAATTTTTTTTTATTCGAACTTCATTTTTTTTATTATCCTTATTATTAATGAATAATAATAACAACAATAATAATATACAACACATTTTACACTAAAATAATATAATTAGAAAATTAAAAACTATATAAACAAATTATAAATTCTTTTTTTCTTTTTTTCTTTTGAAAAAAATTAATAATAAACATTGACGTGGAAAAAAAGAATAAACAGTTTAAAATATTTTTTTCTATTCAAAATATATTAATTAATTAATTAATTAATTTTTTACAATTTTTTGTGTGTGGATTATTAGCAAATATTGTAACTAATATCCACAGATAATAAAAAACACCATATACAAGTCAACGAAGAAATAGAAAGAGTACTGAGTGAAGCCAAGTACTCACCAAATCCACTTTTTTATCCAAAGGTACAGTGTCAAATCTTTTTATTTTTTTCTTCTAGTAAATAATAACAATTTTATCATTATCATCTCCTTGTTATTGTTATTTTCCACTATATTTCATTTTCTCCCTTTTTTAATTTTTCTTAAAAATTACGATTTTTTAAATATTCACGTGCCTTAATATCGATTTTATATATTTTAAATATATATTCTCGATTTAACTCGTTTTTTTTCGCCTGGTTTTTCCTTACTCTTTCACACCTAAATATATATCTATTTCTTTCTTGATTTCCAAATTTCTGATCCAAATTTTTGCTTTCTAAACCTAAACCTAAAATAATCATATATTTACATTTTCAAAATTCCTTTTCTAACCATTTCCATACGTCCGTCCAACTTATACATTCATCCGTCCATTCGTCCATCCATACAACTCTATTTATCTATCCAATCCATCCCAACTAACAATCCAACCACACAACCACGACCATATACATACTCCTCTTCTCACAACCGCCTCCTGCCACCACCACCACCATAACCGCCGCTCCGTCATCATCATCATCGCCATACTCCTCTTTCTCCTTTTCCTCTATCTATCTATCTATTTTATATATATATATTTTTTTTCTTTTTCTTTTTTTTCTCTTAACTAAATAATAATCTAACTTTGAAAAAAATTTTTTTTTAAAAAAAAAAGTGGGAAAAAGAATAAACAATTATAAAAAACTTTTTTTCGTTCATAATCAACAATTTTGATTTCTTTTCTTTTTCATTCATTTTTTTTTCTTTTACATTTATTTCTTCATCATTTAACATTTTTAATATTCATTAATATATTAATTCATTAATTCTTTTCTTTCTTAATAATTACAAAAAAAAAACAACAAAACATATTATATATATTATAATACATATTTATATATCTTCATCTTCATTTCAAAAAAAATAACAAAATTTTTTTCTTTGCAAATAATTATTTTTTATCATGAACGATTTTTTATCATCATCATCAATTAATTCACACATTCGCATTGAATCAACAAAATCATCTTCATTTAATATTAATATTAATAATAATAATAACAACAATAATAATAATAATTCAAATAATCGTGAAACAGCAATGAAGCCGGTAACAAAAAATGCCGCGCGCTCCTTGGAATCTGGTACGTCGCCGCCGGCACCATCGATATTATCGTCGTTGTTGTCGACGTCGCCAAACACTAAACTCCATCCAAAAGATCTAAATCATGTTAGAAACGGTGGTCATAGCAGACAGGTAATTATTTTTTTCCGTTAATTACTGCGGTTTTTTATTTTTTAATCTCGATAATAACAATAATAATAATAAATAAAAATTTTTTTTTCCTTATTTTCTTTAATATATATTTATAAATGAATATATTTATTTAATTAATTAATTACTTATACGTATGAATTAATTAAATTTTTTTTTTTATTAAAAAAAAAAAAAAATCTCTATTCAAATATAAACAATCTTTTTTGATTTTTCTTCAATTTTATACACATGTATGCATATTATATATATATATATATATAATTATTTATTTATATTCATATTTAATATAATGTGATGACAATATAGAGCGCACCTGCCTTATCCACCACAACTACAAGAAATAAAAACAGCATGTACAATGCTATGGAAGTGCAATTGAAGGTAATCTATTCGAAAAAATTAAAAATACAAAGAAATAAAGAAATAATTTTTTCTTTGCATATATGCATGTATTTTAAATTTGGAATCATTTATACTATACATCACACACATGCACACATTCGCACATCCGCACATTCATTTATTCGTTCATTCGTATTTATTTATTTACATATTTGTTTAACATCTTAATTCCATCTGATTCACATTTTTATATTCCTTTCGATTATAAAATAACACGTTATAACACGTTATTTACTTATTTATTATTAATTAAATAACATTTTAGAAACAATACCCTGATCTTGAGGAAAATGATGTTGTACGACAAGCTGTTACTCCTAAACCAAAAAAAGTAAGGATTTTTTTTAGAATTTGTTTAAAGGTTTTTTTTTTATTATTATTAAATCATTTTTAACTAATTAATTAATTATCCAATCGCCAACCAATATAATAGGTACTTTCTCCTCCAAGACCTAAATCTCCTCATTCAAGTAAAACACAAAATTTTATTGAAAAAAACAAAAAACAAATTAAAAAAACAGTTAAAAAAACAAAGGATGACTCTCCTCCTATCTCTCCCACTTCTACCATCAAACAACAACGTTCCTCTTCTGGTACTAGTGGTCAATCATCTTTTAACATTACTTCACGCCCACACCATCAGCAACAACCATCTGCTGGTATCTTAAAAGATACGTTGAAAAAGAAGGACTCTGCTGCTACTCGCCGTCCTCCATCTCCACAAAATTTCAACAATTCTACTTCAAATCATAGTAAACCAACTGCTCATGAACGTTCCCATGTTCGTGCCACTACTCCCGATAGTGCATTACGTGAAGAAAATAAAGCATTAAAACGTTTACTTGAACAATATATGGATTTGTTGGAAGCAAAAGAGAATGACTTGTCTGAACTTGAAGAAGTCGCGGATTCCTTAAGAGAATATAACAGTAAATTAATTGCTGAAAATGAATCCTTACGTGCTTATCACAAAGATCATGAAGCTAATGAATTTAATAATAACAGCAATGATGACAACAACGGTTCCAACGGCTCATCACCTGCTTTACTTATAATGAGCAGTATTAAACAAAATAACAAAAGGATGCTTGGTGAAGTTGACAACAAAGTTGATGATAACAAAACTCTTGTAACTCCATTAGAAAATATCGTACCACCATCATCATCATCAAAAACAATAACAACTGCTGCAAAGTCACCTGCTGCTAGTATTATCGCTGCTCATACTCAACCTCAACCAACATTAGCAAAAATAACAGTAGCAAAAAAATCCGTTGCTAATACTACTGCTACTGTTCCTGCTAAATCAACAACTGCTACTACAAAAAATGCAATTGCCCCTAAAACACCCGTTGCAACTTCTAATATGTCGCGTGGTACGAGTCTGTTTAATAAATTAAACAACAACATCAAACCATCTGCTTCAATGGCTACTCCTTTACAATCAGCATCTTCTTTGAAACCTGAAGCCTCTCATAAAACTTTGATTCATGGTAAAAAAACTGCTGCTGATTTAAATGTTGTCATGGAAGATACTACTGATGATGACGATGATGACGATGATGAATTTATTTACAAAAATGACCATAGATTTAATCTTAATAATAATACCACTTCAAAAAATATCACCTCCACCACTGATATCTCATCTGACGACGATGAGCATCTTAATAGTTCTTCTGATTCTGATAGTAGTGAATTCACTAATTCTTCATCTGATTACAATGATTCTGATTCTGGTGAAGATGATTCCGAAGATGACGACGAAAGACCAATTGAAAAATTTAATAAAAATAATAACGAATGGGGCCTAAATGCTGCTTCATTCAAGTCCGATTTTGTTGACGAGGTTACTGATAGTAGTAATGATGAGTTCGAATATGAACCACCTTCTTCTTCTCAACATTATCAAAATAAATCTCTCAACAAAAACAATTTGGCTAACTCAACAACTCATTTTAACAAACCATCAAACTCTTCAACTTCTTCCTCCGTCGCTACAACTGCTTCGGTTGTTTCTACTTCTACTAAATCAAATTCTTTGGCTACCTCCTCCAACTCTTCTTCTGATAACAAACCAAAAAAACGTATTGGTATTCGTCGTCAAAATGCTTTGACTTCTTCCAACTCACTCAACAAAAACAAACTCAACAACAACAACAACAACAACAACAACAATAATGGTCAATCCGTCAAAAAATCTTCTCAAAACCTCAACTCAACTTCAAAAAACAACAACAACAACAACGGCAAAAACAATAATGGCTTAATTCAAAAACAAAAATCTGACTCAAAATCCTCAAAAATGGTTTCAACTTCAACTTCATCAACTTCATCTTTGGCTAAATCTTCTTCTACTGACTACAACCAAAAATCAAATCAAACTCATCGTGATTCTCTCTCAAACAAATCTGATTCTTTATCTGACGACTCTTCATATTCTACCTCATCTTCTTCAACTCAAAATGGTTCTTCATCTGTAACTTCTCCATCAACTGCTTATACTACCTCTTCCTGCAACTCAATCGGCAAATCCTTCAACTATGCTATCAATGACAACGACGATAACTACTGCATTCAATCTAACATTGCAAACTCTTCAAAAAATTCATTATTAAACCCAACTTATGACTCTTTAACTTCATCAAACAACAACGGCAACAACAACAACGATTCAATCACTTCTGGACAACAATTCAACTCAACTCACAATTCAACTACAACTTCTACAACTTTTACAACTTCTGCAAATTCTCCAAAACTTGTTTCATCTCAAATCGATAACAACTCTGCTAACAATTCTGGCCATTTCTCTTCTCTAAACTCTTCTTATGTCTCAACTCAAACTTCATCTCATAATATTATCAACAAAAATCACAACTTGGTATCATCTTCTCGTCAAAACTCTTCTTATGTCTCAACTCAACAAATCAAATCTGATTCAATCAATCGTGTTTTATCACCTGTCTCATCTATTTCTACTTCAACAAATTCTGCTTCTTCAACTACCAGAGTCCAATCACCAATTTCTGTCTCATCATCTCGTGTCTCAACTCCATCCTGTGAATCCTCTTACAATCGTCGCAATCGTTACAACAACAATAATAATTCAAACTCAACTGCATCTTCTGTTATTCCACCACCTCCACCACCTCCAGAAAATAAAGATACTATTGCCACTCTCCAACATTTTTTACGTCTCATTTCTGAAAACAGTGAATCAAATAAAGACCCCAAAGACTTTTATGATCTCAAAAAAGTAATCGATGAAGGCTCTTCTGCTCAAGTTTTCACCGCACATGCTTTGGGTACTAATGAAGAATGTGCCATTAAAGTTGTTCCTCTCACTTACTCATTGGAATTTATTTTCAACGAAATTTTTATCTTAAAAAACTTGAAACATAAAAACATCGTTGACTTTAAGGAAAGTTTTGTAAAATGGGACGGGAAAACTCGTGAAGTGTGGCTAGCAATGGAAAAATGTGCTCGCGGTGATGTCACCAGTAGAGCTGGTAAAGTTAATCAACGCGAAGTTAGCCGTATGGCTCGTGATGTAAGTATTTTTTTTTTTTAATAAAACAACTAATGGTCGATCTGTTTATATACCTATTTATTTATTTCATTTGGTTTGATTTCTTTTCTTTTGCTAATAATTTTTTTTAATTATTTATTATTCATAGTTGTTAGAAGCCTTAAAACATTTGCACCACAACGGCATTATTCACCGTGATATCAAACTTTCAAATATCTTAAGTTGTGCTAACAATGATGTCAAATTGGGTAAGTGTCTTTATTATATATAAATATTGGCTAAATAAAAAATATATAATTAAAATGAATGAATACTAAACAACATATAAATAAATAAATAAATAAATATATATTATAGCCGATTTTGGTATTTCCTCCTTAACCCCAACTTCAACTACTGCAATGGTCGGCACTATCCCATACATGGCTCCTGATGTTGTTCTCGTTGGACCTGATAGACCTTATGATACAAAAGTCGACGTCTGGTCATTGGGTGTCTGTATCTTGGAACTTTTGACTGGTAAAGCTGCATGGGGTCGTATCCGCGACGATGAAATCATGGATAAATTACGTCGTGGTGAAATGCCATATGGTTTCCAACGTTTACGTAAAAAGGCCGATATTGGATGGGAAGTTGTTGACTTTCTTGAAAAATGTTTTGCCAAAAACCCTGAAAATAGATGGGACGCTGAAAGATTATTAGAGGTAAATATTTAAATATATATATAAGGAATATGTTTATTTTAATGTATGTATGTGTGTACGTATTTCTAACTCTTGTTTTTTTTTTTTAATAGCATCCATTTATCACAAATTGTTATTAAATCAATAACCACATCTTAATAGATATTACAATTATTTATTTATTTTTTGATTTTTAACTCAAAATTTTGGATTATTAGTTAACACAACTGATAATAATTATGGATTTTCAATAGATTTAATGTGATTTTTTGATTTTATTTTTCACAAAATTTTTAAGATTCATTCTTTCCCATTTTTCTTACATTCATATTTATTCGATATATCAATCATCACCACACTCACCATCAATGTTTTAATTTTTATTCAGGGAAAAAACTTATTATGCTCTTTGTATTTTTATAATTAAAAAATTATAATAATTTTTAGAAAAGAAAATTTTGCTCTCTGCAAATTACTATGTTTTAGTTTTTTTTAAAGAAAAAAAGTAATCATCTTTTCTTTGATGTTCAAATCAATGATATAGTTTTTTTCCATCATTATTTTATTTATATACATATATTTAAAAAGTTTTTCACCAATCTCAACACAACACACGTGGCATTCTCATCACTCACTCAACAACATCATCACTCGCATTTTAACATTTAATAAGCATACAATTTTGATCTCATACACAAACACATTCACAACCTCAAAAAAAAAAAAAAAAACACTCTCATACATATACATACAACGGAAATTATTAGAAGATGATAACACTTTTCACTAAAGATCAAATTTCAAATTATTTTACACAGTGTGGATTCTGTTATATATTTCTTGGTCCTCTGAGCGCACAAACATCTTCATATTTTTATTTTTTCCTCTCTCATCTTAACACAAACACAATCACCACCACTGCATTTAATTGGAATGAATGGTGATGGAGATTTGTCTTAATTTTTGGTGTTGGGCTTTTATTCATTTTTTTTTTTTTGGTTAGTAGTTAGCTGTATTTGTTGGCGTTGGTGAAGAATTTTTTATTGCATTTTTTTCAATTTTTTTTAAATCAATAAAAAAATTAAGATTTTAAATATTATTTTATAATTGATTTTCCTTATTATATTATATACATTTATTCTATATGATCACCACCTTTAGGTCCAACAAATAATCAAAAAAGAGAGAGGAAAAAATATTATCATTCAACTTGAAATTCACATGTTATCGCTTTTTTTGCCTGTTAAAAAAACTATTATTGCCTACTGCCAAGTAGATTGACTGACCACCAATTATAATTTCAATTGGCAAATTAAAACAGTATAGTGTATATTTATACTAGTTTGTGTTATTGCTTGTGATGTTTTTTTTTTATTTTCATTTTCATTTATTGATCATTTGGCATCAAATCATTGTATATTTTTCAGTTAATATCATTTAATAATAAATAATTCCTCTTAATTAAATTTAAAAAAATAAAATATAATTATTAATAGTAATTTATAATTTGTTATATATTCCATAAATTTTTTTTTGCTGAAAAAAAAACTATAGCCAATATCTATATATATATATATATATATATATATATATATATATATATATCAAACTTAATATTATAACTACTATATATTTTCATAATTTATATTTTTGCTCATTACTATCATCGTCAGAAGAATCTACAATATTTTTACCGATCGAAGCTGTAACATTATCATTATCATCTCTATTTGAAATATCTTTTACATAATTATTTTTGTCATCAGAAGGGTCTACTATATTTTTATTGGTCAAAGGAGCTGCAATATTATCATTATCTTCATTAAAAGTACGTGCTACATCATCATCATCTTTATTTGAAGTATTTTAACAATATTATTGTCATCAATAGAAGAATCTATATCATTATTGATCGAAGGAGCTGCATTGTTTTTTTTTTTTTTTTTGGTATTTCCAATTTGTCCAAGAGCAGTTTTTCCATCTTCAATAATCACGTTGCTTTTCAAAATAAATACTATATCTTTTTGTTTTTATTTAATCCTTTTCTTGAATGTTGTCTTCACTTTTATTGTCTAATACAATATTCATGATGATTATGCGATACATTGGTGTTATTATTTATAATAAATAATTTCATTGTCCAAGTAATGGTAATGTTAAAAACCATGCAGAAATAAAAATTTTAAGGGGCCAATTTTGAAAAAGTAAATGGCAAGAAAATTTGGCAAAGTTGAAAATAACCTTTTGATATTTTTGTTAAATTATAATCTGAACCTCTTTTCCATGTGTGGCAAGGTTTCCATTGCCTTTTCGTCCAAGTGGTAGTGGAAAAATTTAATGACCAAGTCTACTTGTGTCCTTTTTTGTTTGCGCTCCCAATTGTACACAATTACAAGTTGTAGAATCATCCCCTCAAAAAAAAAATCTGATATTGATCATAGGTATATCAGATTAAAATTTTCTTTTATAAACATTGAGACCAGGCTCTATGAGAACCTCCATCTCTGTAGAATTTTTCATACAGATGAGACAAATTGCTCATGTTGGTGGTAGGCTTCGAATGAGAACAACTGTGATTTTAAATATTCGAGTCCTGAAGCCATTTTCAATTTCCAATGATCGAATGTTACATTATTATTTCTTCATTAGAATTACGTGCGCTACCTTACCGTCATCTCTATTTAATATTGTTGTCATCAATAGAAGAATAATCTTGTATCATTACTGATTGAGGAGCTGCAACATTATTATAATCATTCACGCTAAGTAAATAAAAAAATGAAGTTATAAATATTCAAATGGTTTCTTTTTTTCTCTTACTCCAGCTCTAACAATACTTGCTTTATACTCGTATCTTTTTCTCTATAATCGATCGATGTTCTAATTTTTAAAAAAATTATCATCATCTATATATATTAAAAATAAAAAAAGATTTTTGTTTAATAGTGTAGTACAATCTAATATCCTAAATATATAAATGTGGAGTGAAATTGTTGTCTTCTACGATAATTATGATCACCTCCATAAGATTTTTTATCATAATAATAAACAAATGGTTATATACTATTCTTTATAATAAGAAACGTTGAAGGTAAAAAATGCACTATAAATTGGAAAACTGCTCAACATGTAACATTTGACAAGGCCCAAATATTTAAAAATTACAGTTGTTCTCATGGCCAAAGGCTACCTCCGACCTGTCCGATCTTAAAATGTGATGATGTGATAGAAAATTTTCAAATGGTTTATTAAATAAATTGCATTGTTGTTGAAGATACTATTAAAACTCTCACTCATCCGAAGCCTACCAAGCGATTTGCCCCATCTGTATGAAAAATTCTACAGAGATGGAATATTCTCAGAGAACCGGGATCTCACGTTTAAATTTTATTAAATCTGATGCTTGTGATCAATATCAGATTATTGATTTTATTTTTTTTGTAAATGATTCTACAACTTGTAATTGTGTACAATTGGCCATTAAACTTTTCCTCTGCCACTTGTAATACATGGAAAATAAGTTTAAAGGATTATTTTTCAACTCTGCCAAATTTTCTCATCTTATCTCTTAAAAATTTCATTTTTCCGCATGGCCTTATATAGTAATAGTTTATTGTGGATAATGTTTTGATGAATTGCATAGTCATCATTAGTATTGTAATAGACATGATACAATAGTGGAGACAAAGGTATTCACATTCAAGGAAAGGATTAAATAACAACAAAAAGATAAGTAATATAGTAGTAAGGAGTAACTGCAGGCTGGGATACTTTTTTTTGTGAACAAGGTTATGACTTCTCAAATGTTTGTACATCATAATTGATGCTTTTTGACATGTTTCTAGGGGATATAGATATAGTAGCGCCAAATGCTTCATAAATAGGTTCATCTATCAAAGGTCGTGGGGGTTACTTCTTTTGACGTGCAAAAACATTTCTAGAGGTTGCTCTTCTAACCTACGAACAAGCAAAGCGAGTAAATTTTGCTCTGGCTCAACAAAGTCGAGGTCCTGAATGGCCACACTTGCTTCTATATACCCACAATCTTTGTGATATGATTCGCCAATGAGCAATTTTTGCGATTTATGAATTGAAGAAACAGGCACATAAATAAGTTCACAGAAAATAAATATACAAAAGGGAAGCAATTAATTTGTTAACATTATTTAATATCTGCAATAAAAAATGCCATCTAAGGCATCAGGAAAATGGGTACAAATATTATGTGTATATAATACGCAATTGCAGGGATTAAGCATATAATATATGTACAATTTGCATACATAAAAAAATACGTGATTTGTACGCATATTATATGCTTAATCCCTGCAATTGTGTATTATATACGCATAATATTTGTACCCATTTTCCTGATGCAACTGATTAATAAAGGGGACGAAATGGAATCGCATATGTTCAAACAAAACGGGATACATGCTATCCATTGTAAAATTAGTTGGAAGGAACAAATTCAGCAACTTAACTTTGTATCGCATGTAGTCAAATAAAGTAGGCTCAAGGTGTTGGAGTGAAATAAAAGAAACCAATCGTCTTGAAAAGAGTCAGAAAATCGCATGATAATTACTGACTGGTGTGTGTTTGCGAAAAATTTTTTTGCAAAACAATAAATAAAAGCGGCGAGATGTTTTAATCAAATGATGATTACGATCACAATCAACTGGATAAAATCAGAAAGATTTGGTTCTCTTGACAAAATTGAGGAACACAATTAGAAAAAACGTCAGAACACAAAGATATTGAATCAACAAACCGCTATAATTACAAAAAAATCTGCAAATTTGTTCAAAATCATGTAAAAATTATGACCAAAAGAGAATTCGGTTTAATATGTCAGACATGTTGCAATATCACTTTTCTCAAATGAAGAAGCATATATTAAAAAAATAGATTCTAATGCCAAATAGCAATAAATTTCTATTAGTTGGCAGATCCTTCGGACAGTTCTCTTAAGGAATACACTGTATCTCTATACCATTCCGTGTCCATTCTTGCCTTATGATTTATTTACCCTTTTTAGAAATTTCATACCCATCCTTCTCCTTCGATATTTATGCAAAATTTTTGATTTGACTTTTAATTCATTCACTCACGAGCATAATTGATGTATTGTTGTCTATACCCGTATTAATTATGTTGTGAAAAAGAAATATTTGTAATAAATGGAAGCGATTTCATTTAGATTCGGTAGTTTAGTTGTATTCCCAAATTCGATTTACAAGTTTCAGCTGTAACATCAATTTCTGCTTCAGTTATTTCTTGCTCTTTGGATAACCACTATAAAGCTTTTCTAATGACAAGAAGCTTGCGATATCTTTCCTTGGTCCAAGGAAAATCTGAAAATCTTTTGGATCTTTTAAAATGCTTTGAGGAGGCAGGCATCTTCATTTTTCTATCCGCATTGATTCTTCGCGTACGAATGATAGTTTTGACCATCAATTCATGATCTCATTCGTCTTTTAACTCTCTCGATAACGCACTTGATCCTCAAATCCGACTGGTCTATCAATGATGGCTTAGTATATGGGGTTTGGACTAGGAAAATCAATCTCTCGGTTATTTTTTTTATTTATTTTACAAGAATTATAATTAGTAAAAAAAAAATTGGACTCTTGTTTGCACAATAGAAAAATGAGATATATAGGAGACTTGAAATATTTTCTTTATATATTAAAAACGCATGTAATCAATTAAAGGTTATTACTAATGGGGTTTTTGTTTCAGAGGTCGATTTTCCTAGTTCAAACCCCATATATGTTCTTTTTTTGTATAGCTTTGCTAGAATTATTAAGATCCCCATTAATATAGAAAGAACTTTCACCCAAACTGTATTACCACCTATTCTTCAAACTTGGGACCCATATGGTTATGTGTGGGTACATTCAGCGCTCGATATAATGAACCTATTATATAATGCATGTACGATATAATGAAGTTTGGAAATTTCCGTAATTTGGTCAGGTGAAGCCGGTTTACGTTCTTGAGTTAATAAACATTCATGAGTAAGCTTAGCTTACCGGAGTGATTGTTTTATAATCGGGATGGAACGTAGGTGGTGGATGCAATTACATTTACGCAAATATTTTTTTGCATTCTTTGGATATTCGACATGAAACTACAATTGTATTGAATTTGCGCAAACTCCAAAAAAAGAATTTCCTCAAAGTTGGTTGCCAACCATATTGTCAATCAACCATGGCTATTGAGTCATGATGGTGATATAATTCAACGTATCGTTAACCATAGATTGGATGTACAATCGCTGGATTTATGAACGTTTTCCACACTTGAATTAATAAACGAAACTTTTTGAAACAAAGCGAAAAATGTTATGGTCTATTTTATTATAGTTTCATCATTTGCGGATTTTTTTAAAAATGGTCATCATTTGCGCATTGCTTGAGCAAATATTATCAGCAGTGTGTGTTAGGCATCTTGTAATTTGGTTTTTTGATGCCTTTATAAATGTCATCATGATTTGAAAAGCACAGAGCTAATTCCAAAAAAATATATTGCGATTTATCATTGAATCTGTGCAAGGAGATGTCAAAAATTTATCCAATTGGAAAGAACCGACAGAAAGCATTTGATAGTTGGTTTGTGAACTCTGATGACCCATTACAATCATATTGTGTATTCCAGATTAGTTTCAAGAAAGTTATTTTGAAAAGTATTGCAAGCGAAGTGATGTAAAAGATAGTGATGTCAGCTGGCTAAGGAATTTTTAAACGGCTTAGCCGGGATGAATAAAGAATTATTATATCATTGTATACATATTGCAATAATGCAAGAAGAACAATTATCATGGAGAAATGTTATTTAGTTAAACTACTTGTTTTTTTCCCATCTATTTTCTTTCAAAACAACAATGCCTCTTCTTTTTACAAATTAAAATTATTACATTTCATAAATCAAATTTACATACATATTAGTTGTGTTAAATTGATTTTTTTTTCGAATTTTTGACTTTGAAGCCAACTACACGTAATAGTAATACGCAATTATATTAATAATGTACTTGAGCTGTTTAGTACTTAGAACGACCTTTACATAGCACATAAGACAGGTTTGTAAGTTTTAATTTTGTTTTCTATCTTTATCACTTTTAAATCTTCAAAGAATGCTGAAACGCTTTTATTGTTGAATCGATCACTAGAGTTTGATGATGACAAAGTTGTTCTCCTAAATAATGCATCAATTAATCAAAACTTAAAAGGGCAATCAAATAATAAAAAACAGTCCACGCGGACAATTTCCGAAAGGTTACACCTTTATCCCTCAGTTCGTAGGGATAGGGAAAACATATAAGAGGGATATCCCCCTTATCGATCTTATCGATCTTTGGGTATCGGTCGGATAATTTACTCAAGATCTACGGACCAGGTGATCAGAGATATTCCGTGCATTTATATTTATCCCTCGCTGTACACAGGGATAAAGGTCAGACCTACCTGGAAATCGTCCGCATATGGTGATAAAAATGTTGTACGAAAGAATTGTTTATCAATAATAGACCGCTATTCTCAAAAAAATCCACATCCATCAAAACACCAAATTGAACTTTATTTATATTTTTTTTTATATAATGTCATATGCTAAATTATTATCATCGTTATCACTAGGAAGAAAGGATTTGTATGTAAAATTAATAATGAAATGTATAGTGATGCTAATGTTAA